AATTAAATTACTGATGTCACGCTTGGAGTTATTTTTGGAGTCACAGCCAACATGGAATATTTCTCAAAGCAACCTTTGGTCTCTTGTAGAAATGACCAGAATCAGAGATCACATAAAAACAACTGTCGAACATCATAAAAACAATTGTCGAACAACATAAAAATTACCATAACAACTATTAAACACATAAAAACAAATATAACATATGTCAAACACATACCAACAAAACAAGGCGAATAACAATTCATCCCACAATTCACTAATTTGTTAATCATCAAGGCCAGGGATGTTGGAGACGAATAAAGAATGCAGAACCCTTTATATAAATAAATAAAATAATTTGATAAAAACAAAATTTTACAGGTTAACAAAAAGCTAACAAAAGGAAACCAATCCAAGAAGAACTATTCAGATGAGTGGCGTTTTGCGACTCCAGCCTAACGACTCCCAACTCGTTTGAGATCCAGATTGTATGCGAATCGGCTTTCAAGAATAAAGGGATTCAGCCTTTGTTGGATGACGTCGTGGATTTCTTACCGTCCCTCATCGATTTCTTATGTCCTGAATGCAAAGAGAGAGAGAGAGAGAGAGATAATGATTAGAAAAGATGAACTGCTACAAAAGTTAAACAATAAATTAAATAATAATATAAAAAACGAAAAATAGAAAGAAAAAACTGTCAAACCCAACCGCGTCCACAAAAGGGGTAAATTTAGAAACAATAGAAGTATATGAGAATATTAATGTAAAATGTTTAAATAAAAGGCTAGGAGGTGTCATTAATTCCTGGTTTTAAGCCTGCCATTGAATTACACACCCACATCAATTGTTGACAGTAATATTTAAAACGAATCTTCATTTTCTTGTTGCAAGTAAATTTTTGCTTTGTGAAAACAGATTGATACACAACAATCACCACTCACCAAATTTGAAATTTCTACTCGCATATTCAAATGTATAACATTGTATATTATACGATTATATATAATTTATTCGTGTATTCATATCCAAATTGATCACCACATATTTTGATTATGTGAAATGTGTTCACATAGTTTATAATTCGCATGTCTAGATCGGACGAAAAATTAATAAATGTGCAAATTATTCTTGCATATTTTGTAATCGCATATCTTAATCCACCGTATAATTTAACTTATGCGTGGAAGTATCTCATATTTAGATATCGATTATCCAAATCGAATGTCACATATTTTATGATTTTGCGACTTTTTTTCGCGCAGTTTACGACTCGTACATCCAAATCTATAATGTCGTGTAATTATTGAGTATTCGTAATGTATTCGCATATTCACGAATCGCATATCCAAAATTGAAAGGTGCATAATTCTTTCAAGACTATTCGCCAATTTTTTGCTACAAAATAATTTTATTTAATTTTTTAGTAACAGTAATCAATTTTATTTTTGTCAACAAACAATTACAATATTTTTCTTTGTCACTAGTGATATTTTTATGATAACTTTGTGTGCGATAAACAAAAAATTTCTCAATTTGTTATGTTATAGTGACGAATTTTATTTTCTTCAATGAAAAATACTATTTTGTGGCATTTATTCTTGTCTTATATTTTTATGATACATCTTCAATGGTAAGTGATATTTTGTCACAATTTAGTAATTAATATTAGTAAGGAATCCTATTTTGTCACTAATAGTTATGACAATATTAATTTCTATAACAAAGATATATTTTATGGCGATTTTGTCACAATTAGTAGTTATAGTGCAATAAAATATTAAGTATATTTATCTTTTGTCCATTGAATTTCATTTATAGGCCATATTGGTTAACTTTCCTGGAAAAATAGGTTCAACGAGAATTGTATATTAATTTTAAGACAAATTAATGTTCTGCAAACACAAAATCATCATAAAAATTACTACTTAATGGCAAAAGTAAATGATGTTAAAAAAATATTTTACGGGGACAAAAATAAATTTCATCATTGTACTTCAAAATTATTATAAACACTTAGTTCATGGTGAAGAAAATCATTAAAAGAAAACATATAATTTTATAGTACAAAGTTTATCGAAATTAATAAAACTTGCAAATAAAATTGAAGTCGAGATATAATTTAATGGACCGAAATAAAAAAGTTAAGTTAGAGAACCAAAATTGTAACACGCTTGCCATGTAACATGGCACATATGTAATCCTTCAATTTTATCACATCACATCAGCTGCTAATCCCGACTATTGGTATTAGTGTAGCAAAAGTGAGCAAATCCGTAATTTAATGAACTATTTTTTATACAGGACAAACTAGCGTATCAATTACGAACAATAATCAACTTAGAGGATCAAAATTAAAATTTTGCAATTTACTCGCAAATCGCAATAAGCATGGCATGTGTGATACCGTGAGTGTGCGTACCATTTACGCTTACAAGGTTTACAAAGGCTCAGCACAATAAGAAGAAAATATTTGGATTTATATTGGTAAACCAAATTAAATCCTCAAAGAATCAATGCTGTATATATTATTCTGACCTTTCATAACAAGTATAATAAAATACTAAAAATCAACAAATAACAAATAGTATTGCATGTTATACGTTATGATTGTTTATTTATTTATTTATTTATTTATTTATACTTATGAAATCATTTTAAAAGAATCTGGTAAATAAATATAATTAATGTCCATCTCCAGGGCTTGGGCCCGATTGCTTGATCATTCCCTCGAGAGTTACGACACTTGTTGAAGCATGCCCGTCTCCACCACGACTAGGCCCTCCATTTTTTACAGCCTCCAAATGTAGCATATCCAAAACCTTCGTAATCTCATTATTATTTATCGTGTTTTCTTGATCTACTAAAGTTTTGATAGGACGAGCATCGATGGTGACAAAGAGAACAGAGGAAAAAAGAAGAAGAAGAAGAAGAACGAACGCGACGAAAGAAAGGGATTTCAGACCTTTGCCCATTGCTATTTGTCAATGTACAATAATAGAAATAATAGAAATGTTTCTCAATATTGTTTAGGTTGTTTGTGATTGGAGATGAAGATATCTGATATAGGCCCTTCTATTTATAGGGTGCATATAATGCAGATTACACTTGCATGCAAAATCAAAAGGAAAAAACTTACTTGTACAACTTTTTCGTACACCATTCAATGACAATATTATGTAGCATAATGTGGGCGGTTGAAATGCAAATAATAAATATATGGTTAAGGTTTAACTTAATAATATTTTTAACTAAAATTGTTAACTAATGTTGTAAATTAATATTGTAAATTACAATTGTACACGTAACGTTGTCCAAATAAAAAATGGTGTGATCTTTAGGTCACTTCTTGGAAATTAGACAAAGGAATGTGCTTTTAATTTAGTCGATTAATCAGATGCCGCCACGAAACTTGACATGAATCTTGGAGAGGCTCATTAGTCATTAGTAATAAGAGGCATTAAAATTAGAATCTATTGAGTCCAAACTTTTGAATGGGCCGCCCCACAAAACAAAAGTCCAACTTGATTACCTCAAAGAGTTCACAAACATAGAAGCATACGTTGAATGATTGTTGTCAAAATAACCGAACATTTTTGTTGGAATTTCCGTTGTAATCCATTGAAAAATTTCAATAAAGATTATTATTGAAATATCTGTTGGAATAAATTTATTGGAATATATTTTCGTTGAAATTTCATCATTTTGTTGTAGTGTCGGTTTATTTATAAGGTGGAATTTCATCATTTTGTAATGTTCATGGTGTTTCTTTTTTCTCTTTTTTTTTTTCAATAGAGAATTGTTTCTTTGTTCATGGTGTATCGTTAGTTACACATTATTAGAACATTGTTTGCAGAAATTAATAATTATTGTAATTAACTATTTATTTATTTATTTATTTTTGGTAGTTTTACAACTCCAAGCTCTTTTGCAGCAACTATTTTTAGGTCGAACTAGTACAAATCCCGTGAGATGCGCGGGTAAGAAATACCCATTAATATTTTTAAATTAAAAATATTCATGAAATAATATTTATAAATTAAAAATATAAAACCAATATGATGTGATATATTATAAAATACGGTTTACTATGTGTTGAATAAAAATGAGTTTTCAATATTTTTGGACATGAAGAGACTAGGGTGCGATATATAGAGTGAAAAAATGTTTTTTTTTTTTAAAAAAAGATAGATTTGAGCGAAATAAAATAATTAAAATTAATACTATATAAAATTAATAAAAACCTTGATTTATAATTTTTTAGTTAGACAATCATACAATTTCAACATGTTTAAAATTTTTTATATTATTCAAATATCATATTTTTAAATACAACACTAATAAATGTACTCAAGTTCTTAGTATAAATATGTATTTTCTAAAAAATTATAGTTGTTCAACTATTAGGCAGACTAACAATATAAATCGTGTATTAAAATGTTCATTTGATAATAGTGGCCTATAATTTCTCTACTAGTTATTATATAGTTCGTTAATTTTAAATAGTAGACAATAATTTTTCTACGAATTATTAAATATTTCATTTAAAAATGATTAGATATAATTTTCCAATCTCTTAGTAATATTGTAGTTTATACACATTGAAATAAGAGTATAGAAAGTAAATATATATGTACATAGAGATCATGGATGAACATACATGTTTCCTACTACATATTAGTCATACAAAACTATTTCTATGTTCGTTCCAGTTATTAATTTATGTCGCATTTCAATTGTATGGATATTATATTTAGATGTATTAGTAAAATATTTAAATAATTGTAATAATTCTTCCAGTGTAATCAAATGTCACACTCTAAATTTTTTTGTATTCAAAATTTATTCCTTTAAAAATATAATATTAATTTAAAATATGTTAACACTCTGCTGTAATTTTCCTATAATTACTAATATAATTTTAACTTACACACAATAAAGCTCCCAAAAAATATAGAAACAAAAACAAATTATATATTCAATTTTTTTATAATTTTTTGTAAACAAATAAACATATTCTTAATTGAATATAATAATAATAATAATAATAATAATAATAATAATAATAATAATAATAATAATAATAATAATAATAAAATCATTCTGTTATGATGTTTAAGATTTTTTAACATGATAGATCACACATATAATTAGTGAAGCAATTCAATCCGATTGCAAGCATATCCCGTTGCAATGTAGAAATTCAACAAGTAAATCATATCATATTCTATCTGACTACTTAAATAAATACTAATAATTCATATTGGTTCGACCCTTAAAGGCGCTCTCAAATGGACCAAGAAGGAGGCGAGAGGGTCTAGATGGAGATCTAAATTGACGAAAGCGGCACTATTGGCCACCGTCTACTTCATTTGGAACGCAAGGAATAGGTTGGTCTTCGAAAATGAATACCAACCCCCAAGCCATGTGATACGGAAGGTAAAAACCCACGTCTATCGCACTATATTTGCTCTCTACCCTAATGTGCTTACCGAATTTGAGAGGCAAAACCTTGGTCATTGATGTTTTGAAATTGAGAGTTGAGGTTGAAGGGTGGTCGAGCACCCGGGAGGATATGTTGAATTGGAGAAAAATCGAAAATTCTTTGGGCATTCCAGGCACTAGCGTCGTTATAGCCTTAGCGCCGCTAAGGTGCGGCTGCTAGCGCCGCTAGCCTGGGCGCTCGCCGCTATCCGACCACCCACAGCGCCGCTAAGTCCTTAGTGTGAGCATAACGAGGGGCAGACAACCAGCTCCCGAAATGGAAGCGCAGCTATGCTCCAACGCCGCTAAAGTTCGTCACATAGTGCCGCTATGCAGCATAGCGCCGCTATCCCGACAGATCCGCGCCACGTCAGATTTCCACGCAAGCGCGCCACTGTAGCACCCCTTAGCGTCGCTAACCAGTACCATAGCGCCGCTAACCCCTGAAGACAACCTACGAACCAGCGGAAACATTGAGCTCGACCCGCGCCTTGTACCACCGAACCCCGACATGGATCGTGGTCTGTTGGGACCCTTTCTTCACTGCTATGTCTTTTGAGTGAGCAACTGGGCTGTGGTTGTCCTCCCTTATTTTATCTCGCGGATGAGGAACCGACTTGTGGTTACCCATTATGCTTTGTATGTCGTTGACCGGTCTCGAACTCAGTTTTGATCTATATATATTTACAGTTAACGATAAAAAAAAATCATATTGGTCGCTTAGCTTATAAAAAATTATGTAACTTCTCATTTCTCAAGAATATTATAAAATATTTTAGACCTACATATTTGAGGTGCTTTAATATTTCAAACCTACATATTTTATGGTCCTTTATACAAGATATATGACTTTATATTGGCCTTGTTTGGTAATCAATGGTTAATTGATAGCTGTTAGCTGATTGTATTAGCTGTTTTAATCAGTGGATTGCATTAGTTGTTTTGACCAGATGATTGTATTAACGGTTTGTGGATGAGTGTTTGGTAATTAACTATTATTAATTAGTTGTTAACATGTAAAATTACTTATAAAAACATCCACATAATTTATCAAATTATAATTTATTAATCAATTTATAATTATTTTCATCTTAATTATTATGTCACATATTACATATATCAATTTTGATTTAATTATTAATATTAATTTGTCAATTTTAGAAATTGGATTTTTACTGTCAAAGTTTGTGCGAGAGAAAGTGAACGAGAAGTGGGACTGTACTTTTCATTTAATCGTTATAGATTTTTATGGATTACAATTTTTATTTTAATGATTTTTATATTTTTGTAGCTCTCATCATACATTTGCACGGGTAACTGTACTAGTTTAACATAAGTGTACAAACAAAATTTTGTGATGTTCAGTTTTTTAATGGAGATTTATTTTAAATTATGAAAAAGAAAGTAAATAATTATTATACAAAAAAAAAAGTTAAGTTATACAATATTTAATTATTTTTTTGTTTGAAAATTAAAATTGAAAACATGTAAAGTGACACCAAATCTTCTAAGGCTCATTATTATTGTTATTTTTAATAACCTAAAATCTAATTTGTTTCACAAATGTGTGCGTTTGAAATGAGTTAAAAAATAAAAATAAAAATAAAATAAAAAAGAAAGAAAGATTTATGGAAACAACTAGTGTGAAACACTCCCATGTCCAGCGTTTTCAATATCAGCTTTTTCTCCCCATCCGCCAAATAAAAAAGCTCTTTTACCAAACATAATACTGTTTTATTCGGTCAAACCAGCTGTTTTAGCGTTTTGACTCAACACGCTGAAAACCAAACATAGACATAGCGTTTTGACTCAACACGCTGAAAACCAAACATAGACATTGTAAATTATATCACATGCTAATCCCACATCCTTTAATTCATAATTATTATTTAATATTATTTACCTACATTTTTAAATTATTATTATTTAATATTCTTTACTTGGGCCTATGACATAAAAGTTCATTACAATTAACTAGATCA